CCCCCCCCCCGAGCCAAAATATGTCCACCCCCTCGAAAAAATCTGAATTGTTTAATGAATCATCTGGGGTGGCGAGTGAAGCTCTATGTGACCCTAACCTCGTGAAATTAGGACATACGAGGTAGCCTACAGCACAAAGTCTGCTGTCTGTGATGTCATTTTTTTCTGCCACGTTTACATTTCGGCTGATATAAACTTGAGGCAATATTACACAGCAATAGCTGGATAAGGGGGGGGGGTGACCCAGGGCCGGCCCGACGGTTGCTGGCTCCCCGTGCAATGAACAGTTAATTGTTTATTTAAACAAAACAACATAGGTAATAAACTCATTACCGAACAACTAGCTTTTTCCTTAAAATGATTATACTTATAAGGGGTGCCAAAGTTAAGCCTTAAGTAAACTTTCGTCATGTGCCAAGCACCCGTTCGGCGCCCCCTTCCTTGTACGGCTCCTCTCTTTTTCCGATGACGACTTACTTTTTCTGCTTTTGCGCCCCGGAAAGCTTTTTGCTCCCCGTATTCTTTCTGCTGAAATAATTGTAAGAGGGACAAGGAAATACGGTATTAATAAATTAATTTCCACGCACTTTCGGTTGGTTCCAACCCCTGTACTAGTATCCAAATTGAGCATGCAACTTTCATTGTATGAAAACTCATTGTACGAAAAGCGATTGTACGAAAAGTTATAATACCGGTACCGTTTCTAGACCCAGGACCCGAGGTTCACACTTCACTATAATAAACAAAGGGGATTTAAATATTTACTGGACGCTCCTATGGCCACGGCACCCTAATGGTCGGCAGTGGGTAATCACTGTAGAAGTGCAAGAAACGCACTTCAAATAGTGGAGCATACCACTGAGCAAGCACTTTCAAATTCAGACCAATAGCGACTTTCAGTAGAGAGAAGACTAAAGTTCAAGAAAAAAAATGGCTTAAGAGCACTTGAGAGGCGCCGGACTCACCTTGCAAGTAGAAAACAAGACGGCGATGATGCGTGAGTATTTGATCGTTTGTATTCCTAACTCAAGATCAAGAGCCATCAAGGCTGTTCAAGACTGGGAGTGTATTGGTGACTGAAGAAAAGATATTGGTGTCCTTTCACGAACTGACCACTTTCTAAGCTTAATTAAGCCGTGAAGACAGCCGAAAGCAATAGATCTCATCGTTAATCTGATATATGCTAAAGTTTAGTTAATATTTAGACCTAAAGCTTTGAAATTCATAGCTGAATGGAACTTTCTAGAATATCTCCCGATCCTCTAATTCTAATTTAGCCTAAAACTATTCCTCACAACCTGTGTGTCTATGGAACCACAGTCCATGCTTTTTGGTCTTGCGATTATGTCTACTGAAATTTTATGAGGTGAAGAATGTTGATTTTGATGAAGTTATTGACAGGTTTGTATCTTTAAAGACCATACAAGGAACTTTTTTCATTTAAATTAAAAATGTTTCAATACAATTTAATTTTGTTGCATTTCTGAAACTCTTTTATCACCGGTACCTGAAACTCTATGTTTTCATCTGATGTCTTGTGTTGCCCCGAGGCTTACTTTGCTAACAATATTATAAGTGACTCTGTAGGATCTTGTTAAAAAAAATTACTCGGTGGATGTCCGGGGAAAATATGAGGGAGGGGGTGGAGCCCAGAGGGGTGTCACCATGAGTTTATAGCACCGAGTGGCACCAACCGTAGTGACGCAACTTCCTAGGGGCCCCCGGGGTCTTAATTCGGCACTGGCCCCTCCAATACTTATATATCGATTGTCGTGAGCCTCCTAGATATGTGCTTCATTTGTCTTTAGATTAATCCTAAACTCTGTAATGAAGCATCATATCTATGTACAATCGGCGTATCATCCTGAGTCAACTTCAGTTTCTAGTACCATAATATATTGGCATCCATTAGATCTATAAGGAGGTTAGTCTAGAAAAGGACAATGTTAGCCGGTTCCATAATAATTTGTCAAAGATTAATTAATATTTATTTGCTTATCAATCATTACAAATTGAATTTTTGTTACAGGCGTTTAAAAAAATTAAACCATTTATTGCCATCTCTGCAGATTACTAATTGTTAAGCATTAAAATAGGTCTGTATTTATTTATTTATGGTTTTTCGGAGCGTGGGAGACAATTTGACATAATTAATAATTTAATGGGGGTAGACCCTATCTTGAAATTTGACGGCTATTGACAAAGGAAAAAGGCCTACTAGCTTTCTTAAAAATGCAAATAAATTTCAGTGTTTTGACAAGCTTACCACTTCTTTGCCTCTAGTCTGTGAAGATTGTATGATTTATATATTTTATTTTTATATTATTGTTATAGCACAGCCTAATCTGGGGAATTCTGTGGATTGTTTTTGGGGTAGTGGGGATTTTGTAAAATCTGAGTGGCAGCAGTGGTTGTTACCGGAAACGAATGGAAGAAAATGAAAAAAGAAAGCACCCTATTAATAATTAAATTTCGATCACGGAACGATTGAGCGATAAGTGATATTTACTGTTCAGAAATAAAACACTTTCTTTGGGATATTAAAAGATTTTGCCGTGATATTTTTTCAACGAAAGTTTCAACCATGACTTACGGAAGTGCTGTGAGGGAAAACGATCCTCTGTATATTCTGTACAGTATTGTTTACGTGTTCTTTTCACTATGTTTCATCGCCCCTCCAACGGAGTTTGTTTCAGCTGGTGTCACTGTGCAAAACATATTCTCTCACTGGCTTGGCAGTGAAGATTTCCATTTTATCTACTATCATATGAAAAGAATATCAGCAACACTCATAGTTCACAGTTTTATTCCTTTGGGTAATTATGTAAAGTTATAATAATAAATAATAAAGTAAAGCAAGCTTAGACTTTGTCTTATTCTTATTAGTAAAGTCAAAGTTAGTTAAAGTTAGGCCTTATTATTACTACCCTACATTTTCATTTATTATTTATAATTATCATCAATTTACAATTACTACTAAAATTTATAATCCTGTTGTATTGTATATTTAAATAATAATTAGACCCTTTTTTTTAGGCCTATCATTTGACTTTGAGGATGCTGATGTTATTCGGATAGTGAACAAAACAACAGAAAAAACGGTTTAAAATTAAAAATAAGGATAAGAAATTGCACTTAGCTTGGAAGTAGTATCCGTGGGCAGCCTTTAGTCTGTGAAGATTGTATGATTTTTATATTTTATTTTTATTATAATTATATTGTTGTTGTGTGGGACAGAGATCTCTACATCAAGGAGGCTCATAGGCAACTAGAAGACAGCCAGTTCTACCAACTGAGGACTAACAACCCTATCACCAAACATAACGACATGGTAAAATAAACTATCAAGAAAATGATTGCAGAATCGGCACTCCTTAAATCGGCCTCTGTCTTACACATCTTCTATAGTGACCTCGGTAAGCCATGCTTCTACATACTTCCCAAAATTCATAAGTATGGTAACCCTGGCAGGCCCATTGTCTCAGCATGCTCTTGCCCCACTGAGCATATCTCGGAATTCCTTGATGTAGTTTTTCAACCCATCCGTTACCTCACTGCCAACTTACATTAAAGACACCAACCATGCTTTACAAACCTTTGAATCCATCATAATCCCTCCTGAAAAGAAACATCATCTATTTCTTCTTGATTTATGTTCCTTATACACTTCCATCCCCCACACTGACGGTCTCTTAGCTCTCAAATTCTTTCTCGAGACTAGACCCCACCCATCTATACCCACCAACACCTTCCTCAGATTGGCTGAACTAGTCCTCGCCCTCAATTCGTTTGAGTTTGGTGGCCAATTCTTCGACCAAATTAGTGGTGTTGCCATGGGGACTAAAATGGGACCCAACTATGCTTTTCTTGTTCATGGGGCATTTGGAACACATGGTCAGAAGCAGCTATACTGGACGCCTCCCTGAATTCTTTAAGATGTGCATAGATGACGGTATAGGGGTCACCACTATGGAGAGGAGTGAACTTGACCCGTTCATCAAATTTGTAGGCTCCTTTCACCCCTCCATTAAATTCAGATCTCTTGTCTCTGAGACCTCAGTCAATTTCTTAGACATTACAGTTACTCTTCTCAAAGACAGCTTACTCACCTCTGCCTACTTTAAGCCCACTGACAGTCACAGGTATCTACTCTACTCTTCATCCCACCCTAAATCATGTAAAGACTCTTTTCCTTTTTCTCAATTTTATTTATTTATTTATTTAGGCATTTTTATATAGCGCTTACCTTAAAGCTCTAAGCGCTTTACAATTATTAAAAACATGTAAACTAAGTAAAATAAAAATGAGACACTAGGATAGTAACTACTATACTATAGAAACAATTAAAATGGCTATAAAACGAGGACACTTTGGCACGTTTTGGCCTATACTACAGGATCAACCTGAGACAGAAAATGAGACAGGGCAAGGAGGGTGCATCACAGGTCATAGGCAGACCTAAACGGATGGGTTTTAAGGGACTTTTTGAAAGTGGACGACGTTTCACAATGACGGATATGGAAGGGGAGCTGGTTCCAGAACGTGGGCCCATGGAAGTAGAAGGAGCGTTCACCGATGGTCTTAGTTTTGGTTCTTGGGATTGAGAGGGTTCTATTGTCAATGGAAGTTTTCACAATGACGGATATGGAAGGGGAGCTGGTTCCAGAACGTGGGCCCATGGAAGTAGAAGGAGCGTTCACCGATGGTCTTAGTTTTGGTTCTTGGGATTGAGAGGGTTCTATTGTCAATGGAAGAGCGCAGTTGTCTTGTGGGGATGTAAGGAAGCAACAGTTCAGAGAGATAGACAGGAAAGTGAGGGTCAGTGAAAGAGTTGAAGCATAGATTGGCAGACTTGTACTTGATGCGAGAGGATATTGGAAGCCAGTGGAGTTGCCGCATGTGTGGTTGAATGTGGTCATGTTTCTTTGATTTAAAAATGAGTCTGCATGCTGAGTTCTGTGCCTTCTGAAGTTTGTCTATGTGGTGTTGAGGAATGCCTGTGAGAAGAGTGCTTCAGTAGTCAAATTTTGAAAGAATGAATGAAGAGACGAGAGTTTTTGTGGCATCAAAGGAGAGGAGGTGTCTAATGGTGCTGATTTTTATAATTTTGTTATATGCTGATCTGCATATATTCGTGACATGTTTGTCCATGGAGAGGGTGTCTGTAAGCCTGACTCCAAGGTTTCTGGCAGAGGAAGAGAGTGTGATGTCAGAGTTGCCAATAGATATAGAAGAAGGAGCGGATGGAGGGAGAGATTTGTTTTGAGAGTGGATGAGAAGGATTTCCGTTTTATCATCATTTAGCTTCAGTTTGTTGCAAGTCATCCAACGCTTTACGTCGTCCACGCACTCCTGTATGCGAAGGATTGTGGCATCAAGTTGACCAGGAAAGCAAGAGTCACTGATTTGAGTGTCATCAGCAAAGGATTGACTGGAAACTGAGTCTTCGTCGACTTTGTCGGTCGGGTGAGGACTTTTGGGACAAAGCACTTGAAATGATAGACTTTTTCCGGTGTAGGTCTTACCCAGAGACAGTACTTTCATCAGCCCTCCAAAGGGTTAAGAATATTACCTATGCTGATGCCTTCAGTCCACGTCTAAGTGACAATGTTGACAGGACAAAGCTCATTATAACTTATCACCCTCACAATCTGATTGCTAAGCGTGTTTTCCTTAAACATCGATCTATACTACTTGCAGACACCGACACACCAGAAATTTTCTCTTCCCCACCTCTCATTGTTTTCAGACGGGATAAAAATCTGAAAGATCTCCTTGTGCGCAGTCGTATCAACGCTCCCCCTCCCACTTTGGGACCAAGCCGTGTGGACGCAGCCATTGCAACACTTGCCCTTTTGTCGTCCAGACTCAACACATACATTTCCCTAAGGGCAGTTTTACAGATAGGCGACGGTTTCCTCTGTGCAAGCCGCAACGTTGTCTACGCCATTGTGTGCACCCGCTGTCAGATGACGCAACATTACAGTGTCCCTTCTCCAAACACTTCAATAGTAGCGACCACCAGGGTAAGGCGGACTTTTCTATAAGTGTGATTGTGGCTAGCACGAACACCCCCAGCCGGGTCAATTTGGAACACAGGCTTATCCTGACTTACGTCACTTTGACGCCACATGGGATTAATGTTATGTCTCTGTTCACAGCTTGACCCTAGCTCCGCCCCTCCACGTTTTGACCTATCACAGTGAACTTTTTTCTCCTCCTTTCTTTCGCTCTTCCCTATTGAACCTCTCACTCACTTACCTTCTGCCACATTTCTTTTGCTGCCCACGGATACTACTTCCCAGCTAAGTGCAATTTCTTATCCTTATTTTTAATTTTCAGACCACTTTTTTCTGTTGTTTTGTTCGCTGACAAAGGCTTTCTGCCGACACGTTAGCTGTTTTGTGGCGTTTATTTTTTCAGGTTTAACTCTACTCTGTTTTACTCATTTATATTGTACTAACCTGATTGCAGTCTCTCCCCTTATTACCCTTATTCAGATGGTCCTGACTACAATCATAATCATTAAAATTATGATATATTATATGTCTGTCTGTAGAATGTAGGTCTTCTTATCAGCCGTCTAATTATAATAATTAATAATAATAAATATGTAGCCTAAATTATACTATAACTAGAAATATCCCGCCAAACAATGGTGGCAGAAATGCATGAATGAACTTCTCAGCTACGGTACTAAAGTCTAAACTAAAGTTATTTGAAAAAACATCCATTCAAGTAATCCACTTATAAAATGCACTTATTAGTGCTAACTTCTTATTATTTTATTTTTTGCACCTATTGAATGAATTGTCACAGATATGAATATATGGGAGATAAGTAATTAGGCCTTTATTACTTATATTATAATATACAGAGTATTGGGACTTGAGAAAAACTGACCAATGAGAGAGGAGTGAAACAATGGAAGGAAGTTGAATAAAATGGCAGTTGATTCACAAAGTTTATGTGAGATGATTGAACATAGATTGTTTATGTTTTAAACAACTCTGGTATGCAGTGGTAATGTGCTGTCTGCGGATTCCCAATTAGCCAGACCGTGTTTCGCCACCACAGTTTAAGATCAGAATCTACCCTCCCAGATTTCTCCCTAAATCCCTCATGCTTCACACCAACGGACCTTCAGAGTTTTCAACCACCACACTGCTCTACTCCTATGAGCTGCAGTTAGCAAGACAAATGGAAAGACAGACCACTGTGCATATTGAGTGTGAACTTTCAGTCTGCAAGCGGAAAAAGAGTCGAGATAGCCAACTTGATCAACAGCTTAAAACCTGAGATCATTTTGGGCACAGAAACATGGCTGAATCCCTCCATAACCAACGCAGAGGCTGTACCGGATAGTTACAAATTATTCAGTCGAGACAGAAAAGACAGAGGAGGAGGAGTACTTGTTGCTGTCCGTGACAGCCTGGACTGTCACGCTGTTCCAGAACTAGATGTTGATGACTGCGAGCTCCTGTGGGTGAATGTGAAGCTGAAGGGTAGATGCACACTTTACATTTATGCCTATTACAGACCCAACACAGCAGATGAACCAAGCTTGAGGAGGCTTGATGTGTCACTTCAGAGAGCAATTCAGTTGAAGAACACTTTTCTGCTTAAAGGGGGAGATTTCAACTTTTCTCGTTGGAACTGGCAGATTCCTGCCTTAAAGCCCAAGTCCCCATATTCAGACTTTATGGCGATAATTAACAACCATGGTCTGGAACATATGGTTAAAGAACCCACGTGAGGGGAAAACACTCTTGACCTACTCCTCACTAACAGTCCACATCTCATCCCTAGAGTTGAGGTCATCCCCGGGATATCAGACCACTGCATATCATACTGCGAATTTCAGGTCAGCGCACTAAAAAAGAAGCAGGCTGTGCGAGAAATCCCCATTTATGCCAAGGCTGACTGGGATAGCCTGAGAAAAAGTCAACAACAGATCTGAGCTCAAACATGCAGGAGATTTAGGGTAATGCGACAACAGAAGACCTGTGGGTGAAATTCAAGACAACAATCACTGATGCAGTGCAGAAATTTATACCACACAAGACCACCAAACCTAAGACAAATCAGCCATGGGTCACGACTGAAATCCGAAGGCTCATACATAGGAGAGATAGCCAGTACAAACGAATGAAGAAGAATGGCTCGGTCGAACTAACAGACGAAGGACTGAGGCTCCGAAGAACCATCCAAGGCTTACTGCACAGATTTTATTGGAACTACCTGAACGGCATCTTTTCAGAGGAAGATACTCTGGCCGAATGTCAAGAACAAGCACTTCTGGGGGTACGTCAAGCAGCAAAAGTCATCAAACACTGGGGTTTCCCCTCTGAGATGAGACGGCCATTTGACGTCTGAACCCAAAGCACAGGTGGACATACTCAATCAACAGTTCCAATCGGTCTTTGGGGATGGTAGAGAGTACTCAGAGGTTGAGTTCCTTCTGAAGACCAACATGATGAGCACAGCCTACCCTGACCTAGAAGATATCCAGATTTCAGAGCAGGGTGTCCTGGCACTCCTTAAAACCATTAACCCATGGCTCCTGCACTAACAATCCTCTTCCAATCGTCGATATTCACAGGCAATGTTCCAACTGACTGGAGAACAGCGTATGTCACTCCAATCTACAAAAAAGGAGAGCATTACGACCCTGCCAATTACCGCCCTGTATCCCTCACTAGCGTAGTTTGCAAACTACTGGAGCACTTAATCATAAGACAGATGTGCTTGTGCTGGACTTCTCAAAGGCCTTTGACCGTGTCAATCATAGTTTGCTATTACACATACTGCAGATATATGGGATCCAAGGCACTACCAAAAACATGGATCTCAAGCTTCCCCAGCAAACGATGCCAGGCAGTAGTGGTAGATGGCACAACCTCCTTCTTTGTCGGTGTTAAGTCAGGGGTCCACAAGGGCTCTGTGCTAGGCCCCTGTTTATTCCTAGCATATATCAATGATCTGCCCAAGAAGCTGACCTCTCAAGTAGGACTGTTGCAGACATGGCAGTGTATAGGACGATCGCCAACAGTTCTGACCAGGAACAGCTACAACAGAACCTCAATCGGTTAGCAGAGTGGGATATGAGTTGGGACATGGAATTTCATCCCGTCAAATGCCCAGACCCTGTCAGTCTCCAGAAGCAGATGCCCTCTACACCACTCTTACAAATTGCATGGCCATATACTTGAGCCAGTTTCATCCGTTAGGTACCTAGGTGTTACCATTCAAAGACATGTCCGCTGGGACAAGCACATTAACAAACAAGACCCCGGGGTTCCTAAGGCGAAGTCTGAAGATCGGCAACTCAAGTGTGAAAGAAAAAGCTTAAAAAGCCTTTCACTGGCCACTTTTAGAGTACGCATCTACAGTCTCGGACCCATTTACCCAGAAAAGCGTTGACAGGTTGGAGGCGGTCCAGTGACATGCAGCACGCTTTGTACTTAACCGCTACAGAAACACCTTAAGTGTTGGCAGCATGCTAGAAACACTGGGCTGGTCACCATTGGAAGAACGACGACGACTATCCAGGATCACCATGCTGTACAAGATCAAAAATGGGCTGGTCCACTGCTCCAGCATTAAACAGAAACTCGTCCCTCTCCCCCATAGACAGCGATGAGGTCACGACAGGCAGTTTGGGCTAACAAAAACAAGAATTCAGTACGGGAGCTCCTCTTTCCTGCCAAAGACAATAAGGGACTGGAACGAGCTTCCAAAAGCAACAGTTGAGGTGACTACACTTGACACATTTGCAGCTTTTGCTTCCTGTCTTCCAAACAGCGTGGACGAGTGGTCTAAACTGAGCAAATCTCAAGTTGGTGGTCGGGAGTTCAATTCCAGCCAAAGTCCAGTCAAGAAAAAAAAAAAGCTCGCCAGCACCCCGGGTAGATGGGACTTTTTAACCTTGGTTCGCAACTCATCTAAGAGAAGGAAACTCTAAATTCAAACCCGGAGATGGCGTCCCCTACAGGCGGCAAAACATCGAAACAATGAATCATTCCGACAACCCCTGCAACGCCCCGGACGCCATCCCTGAGAGCGCAGTGAACATGCTAAAATAGCATGGATACTTAGCGCTATACATATCCCGATGTATACCTAACAATAAAAAAAAAATCACACTTGCAACTTTCACTATGACAAGGAACTTAAGATATTGATCAAATCAAGCTGCATTGTGATGTCAGTTTATTTAAACTAATGCCGGAATTAAACACCTTCAATTCATGCATCATTAGTTTATTTGCAATGTATGGTTTTAAAATGGAAAAATTTTTAGTGATACATAATATGCATGATACTATGATACATGCACTAGACAAAGTTGCCATTGATAAGTGTTAAAAATTGCAAAATTCGACTAAAATGTACCCTAAAAACCCCAATCAATTTCATTTACTAATGTGTAGGCTACTGTAAATGAACTATTCATGAATGAGGTAAAGTCATTGGAATACAGAGAAGGGAATATTATTCAAATATTTTTGTCGTTGCATTTTTAAATTAAAGTTAAAGCCAATCAGTGTGCTTTATGAAGATAAAGTGTTCAAAAATGTGGTGCAATAGGTTTTGAAATTTTAAAATAAAGTTCACTAGTTAATTTTAAGGACCATGTGTAATGCAGCACAAGTCTACTTAAAAGGCTATCAATTAATGAAAAATCTCAAAATTTATTTGATGTATTCAATAATTGCTCATTTTCAGGATATTACTTGGGACTAGCCCTCTTTGCCCCGCAATTGAACCTTTTTGATTTTGATCATTTGGCTACCACATGGACAGTATTCTTCATCTGCAGTTTGCTTCTGCCTGGTTGTACAATGCTACTTGTAATCTACTGGCATCAAGGATCCTGGGATAACCATCCACTGGCCAAGGAGCTTCAGCTTCTTGGAGGGGAAAATGACTCTTGGCGATCTGTTGCTTCATCAATCAATGTTGAATTCAGAAGAATTGACAAATTCACAAGCGGCATACACAGTCGACTTGTCGCAGTTACAGATTCTTGGATTATCAAAACATCAACCTATTATGTGTATGTTGCTCATCAGAATGATATTCATTTGACCCTGTCTGATGCAGAGGAACATTCCCTGTCTTATCAGAATCAGATGGCACTTCAGATTCTTAATATTACTGTTGCAAGTATTCAGCCAGGTCTAAAGCCTTTTCCAATACGGTAAAGAAGTTTAAAAGTGCTGCTTTTTCTTTACAGTTTGATGGATTAATTGACTTTTAAGTCACTATATGATATTTATATTTGCAGTGCCTTTTATTATAGCATTTTTTATCCACTAGATTAAATTGATAACTTATTAATTTATATTGTATCTTTATTTTATATTTGTATTGCTTTATTTTTATCATTTTATTTATTTTCCTAACCAGTGGAGGCTTTTGGCATTTCCTCAACTGGTTGTTGACACATATTTCTAATAATTACACGATATCAATTATAAATTTTAATTTAATAATACTCTGTTATTTTTATAAAGTAAGTAAAGCCTTTCTTTCCACAGGCTTAACTCTCTTGAACTGGGTGACCTCAAAGAAAAGCTCCAAGCTCCTATTCGAAATGCCAGAAATATAGTCATTCACCAATCTTTAAGTGACAGGTTCCTGATGGAGTTTAAGGAGGTTGTTGAAAATAACCCAAAGTATACCGCTCCACCAACAATGGTAGGTGTGTGGCAATTAAACATTTACTATGCACCCATAGAAAAAAATATGTTTAATTTGATCTTTAAAAAAAAAAAACACATCTAAAATGTTGAAGTTACATTGACACACTTTTTGATACACATGATTCAGTATAATTGAAGACAACTCCACAAATATTATAAAGTTCATGTCTACTTCAAGAAATTTAATGGGGACAAAGAATTTCAAAAACTTAAAGCTGATGAACAACATTGATATTGTTGCCCGGTACTTCAAAATGACATTTTAACAATAAAAATATGCCTGCAATCTTTGTCTTATATACACCATCACGTCTCGATTTGTTTTTAAATGTCAGATTTTTAAAAACCTTTTTCTTTAAACCCACTTATCATCATCATCATTAGTGCTGCTACAGCTCTTGTAGGGCCCTGTCCTGCTCCACCACATCCTTCCATTTGGATCAATCCAGGGCTTTCTGCCTCCATGCGCGAACCCCAACTTATGTAATTACTTTTCTACATCATCGATCCATCTCAGTCTTGGACGACCAGTGAGTCGTCTGTCCCTAGGCTTCTTTCTGTATATCACTTTTGCTGCTCTACAATCCGGCATCCTTTCAATATGTCCTGCCCAGTGCAGTCTGCCTTTTTTTAATTGTTGCGAATGTAATCCTCCTTTCAACTCAACATTATTTTATTTTGCTTGTTCTAGTGGCCCCTTGATATTTGAAAGTTGCCAGTCTCTCAAATTTGTGGTTGTTTAAATTGATGTTGTCATCTCAATGTGGGTGTTTCGTGACCACTTATCTTAGCATCAATGTCTTAATTAGTTATTGCATTACACTTTGTTTAAGATGGAAAATGAAATGAGAGGAAGGCCACTATGGCAGGTGGAATGCCAAATAAAGATACAAGCATTATAATATATAATTATACTGAAAATTTATTGGTTTAAATGTTCAGGGCTTTCTGCTATACTAATAAAGGGAAACAAGATAAATGCCATTATTGAAGCTTTGAAAATATGGTTTTATTTTATTATCTATATTTATGATTATATGTGTGTTTTATTTCAATGAAATGCATGCTTACACAATGTGTGTTTTGTTTCATTGACATTCATGTTTTTAAAATGTGTTTTGTTTCATTGACATTCATGTTTTTAAAATGTGTTTGTTTCATTGACATTCATGTTTTTAAAATGTGTTTGTTTCATTGACATTCATGTTTTTAAAATGTGTTTTGTTTCATTGACATTCATGTTTTTAAAATGTGTTTTGTTTCATTGACATTCATGTTTTTAAAATGTGTTTTGTTTCATTGACATTCATGTTTTTAAAATGTGTTTTGTTCATTGACATTCATGTTTTTAAAATGGGTTTTGTTTCATTGACATTCATGTTTTTAAAATGTGTTTTGTTTCATTGACATTCATGTTTTTAAAATGTGTTTGTTTCATTGACATTCATGTTTTTAAAATGTGTTTTGTTTCATTGACATTCATGTTTTTAAAATGTGTTTTGTTTCATTGACATTCATGTTTTTAAAATGTGTTTTGTTTCATTGACATTCATGTTTTTAAAATGTGTTTTGTTTCATTGACATTCATGTTTTTAAAATGTGTTTTGTTTCATTGACATTCATGTTTTTAAAATGTGTTTTGTTCATTGACATTCATGTTTTTAAAATGTGTTTTGTCCATTGACATTCATGTTATTAAAATGTGTTTTGTTCATTGACATTCATGTTTTTAAAATGTGTTTTGTTCATTGACATTCATGTTTTTAAAATGTGTTTTGTTCATTGACATTCATGTTTTTAAAATGTGTTTTGTTTCATTGACATTCATGTTTTTAAAATGTGTTTTGTTCATTGACATTCATGTTTTTAAAATGTGTTTGTTTCATTGACATTCATGTTTTTAAAATGTGTTTTGTTCATTGACATTCATGTTTTTAAAATATGTTTTGTTTCATTGACATTCATGTTTTTAAAATGTGTTTTGTTTCATTGACATTCATGTTTTTAAAATGTGTTTGTTTCATTGACATGCATGTTTTTAAAAATGTGTTTCGTTTCATTGACATTCATGTTTTTAAAATGTGTTTCGTTTCATTGACATTCATGTTTTTAAAATGTGTTTTGTTTCATTGACATTCATGTTTTTAGAATGTGTTTAGTTTCATTGACATTCATGTTTTAAAAAAAAATTTTGTTCCATTTACATTCAGGAAATAGAGCAGTGTATTGGCTGTATGCAGAAGACCTCAGATGTTAAATTACAAAAGCACTGTGAGGATCCAGAAAATGGCAATGTTGAAACTCGCTGTATTCAATGTTTCTGTCGGCCAATGTGGTGCCTGGAGTGTATGGGGAAATGGTTTGCGAGTCGACAAGACCACCTAAGACCCGAGACTTGGTTTGCTAGTAAATCCCCATGTCCAACCTGCAGGGCTCGGTTCTGTGTGCTGGATGTTTGTAAAATACAAGAAACACAATACTAATGACTTTGTTTGATTTTTTTGTTGTTCTCGTCAAATTTTCAAATCCTAATCTCATCTTATCTCTTGCATTCAAGGAAATGGCAGCCCCAGGATGAAGATTCAAAATCCTTTCCCTTGTTTGAGGGTGAAGGTCACACACATGTCTAATCAGAATCACCGCCAGCTGGTATAGCGATAACCTGGCTAATAAACTGGCAGACACGAGCCATAGCTCTTTAACATCACGGTCCACGTTGCCCAACCTCCTGAAACTTGAGTTGGGGACCAGCACATTTAGTATCATGTCCCGTGAGATCAGGGGTAACTATGAAGTGTTGGGTGGTAAAAAAACCCAACACCAGCACATTTCCAATGATATCAGGGAACCCTATGAAGTGTTGGGGTGGTAACTAACAAAACACCCTAAGTTTCTTCCCTTTCTATCCTGTGAGGCCAATGGATATCCTGTAAGAATGAGACATACTCATGTAATACTTTAGTGAAAATGTACACTATGGTCACTACATAAATTTATTTATTTATTTATTTAGGCATTTTTATATAGCGCTTATCATAAAGCTCTAAGCGCTTTACAATTATTAAAACATGTAAACTAAGTAAAATAAAAATGAGACACTAGGATAGTAACTACTATTCTGAGCTGGTTCCAGAACGTGGGCCCATGGAAGCAGAAGGAGCGTTCACCGATGGTCTTAGTTTTAGTTCTTGGGATTGAGAGGGTTCTACTGTCAATGGAAGAACGTAGTTGTCTTGTGGGGATGTAAGGAAGCAACAGATCAGAGAGATAGACAGGAAAGTGAGGGTCAGTGAACGAGTTGAAGCAAAGATTGGAAGACTTGATTGGAAGACATAAATCCATACTTTCAAAAGCAACCATGTTGGTGGCTGAAGAAAAGAAACAAACATTACTTTAAATTTATAAAGATTTTGATGACACAAGGGTCCATATAAATTTCAAGTTCAAGAATGTCCTAAACCAGGCCTGAACAACTCAAAATTTAAGGTGGGACGTAATATTTAATGAATAACTTGTGCGGGGCAAAAAAAAATAGGACAGGACTTGTGCAGGCCAAAAGAAAATAGGACAGGACTTGTGCAGGCCAAAAGAAAATAGGACAGGACTTGTGCAGGCCAAAAGAAAATAGGACAGGACTTGTGCAGGCCAAAAGAAAATAGGACAGGACTTGTGCAGGCCAAAAGAAAATAGGACAGGACTTGTGCAGGCCAAAAGAAAATAGGACAGGACTTGTGCAGGCCAAAAGAAAATAGGACAGGACTTGTGCAGGCCAAAAGAAAATAGGACAGGACTTGTGCAGGCCAAAAGAAAATAGGACAGGACTTGTGCAGGCCAAAAGAAAATAGGACAGGACTTGTGCAGGCCAAAAGAAAATAGGACAGGACTTGTGCAGGCCAAAAGAAAATAGGACAGGACTTGTGCAGGCCAAAAGAAAATAGGACAGGACTTGTGCAGGCCAAAAGAAAATAGGACAGGACTTGTGCAGGCCAAAAGAAAATAGGACAGGACTTGTGCAGGCCAAAAGAAAATAGGACAGGACTTGTGCAGGCCAAAAGAAAATAGGACAGGACTTGTGCAGGCCAAAAGAAAATAGGACAGGACTTGTGCAGGCCAAAAGAAAATAGGACAGGACTTGTGCAGGCCAAAAGAAAATAGGACAGGACTTGTGCAGGCCAAAAGAAAATAGGACAGGACTTGTGCAGGCCAAAAGAAAATAGGACAGGACTTGTGCAGGCCAAAAGAAAATAGGACAGGACTTGTGCAGGCCAAAAGAAAATAGGACAGGACTTGTGCAGGCCAAAAGAAAATAGGACAGGACTTGTGCAGGCCAAAAGAAAATAGGACAGGACTTGTGCAGGCCAAAAGAAAATAGGACAGGACTTGTGCAGGCCAAAAGAAAATAGGACAGGACTTGTGCAGGCCAAAAGAAAATAGGACAGGACTTGTGCAGGC